TTTGTCTCTATGTAATGTATTGCTATACAGTATACATAAAACTTCAAAACCCACCCACTCTGCACAAATGGCTTCTACAAATCTTAATTATTGGTCAAAAAGAGAAACTCTTTCAGATATCTAGAACTCAAGCTGTTCAGGGCTTTAAAAGGCATTTTTAATTCCTTGAACTCAGACTGGTAAACATATTGGCAGCCAGTGAAGTCTGATAATCTTGGCACTGCAGAGCTGGAAGGGGTCCTGTGGATCAACGAGTTCAGCCCTTGTCAAAGAGACGCAGTGGGGAATCGAACTCCTAACCCAGATACCTAAACCACTGAGCCATCCATGAGTTCAGCCCCTGTCAAAGAGACGCAGTGGGGAATCAAACTCCTAACCCTGATACCTAAACCACTGAGCCATCCAGCAGTTCATTTCAGAACTGGTATCTTATGGCTTCTGAAAGGTGCTCTGTTGGTCTACCTGCCACCTATTGAACTTGCTACAGCATTTGTGCTGTCTTCAAGGTCAGTGCCACACAGAGTGCACTGTGGCAGATTAAATCGGATGTTACCAGTCCATGAAGGATCAGATTATTCCTACCCAGGAGTGGTTGTAGCTGGTGCACGTTCTGAAGCTGGCCCCAGGTACTTTGAGCCACTGAATCCATCTGGGCTTCTAGTGGCAAATAGAGGTCCAGGAAAACCTCCAAGCTACAAGTCTGTTCCTTTTTAGAGGGAGTATAACTTCATTCAAAACAGATGCCGCTCTTTGTGGCAGTGACTTTAGTCTACAGACTGGATACACCATGCCCTGAATCCAGATACTCCCCTGAACGGATATGGTTGCAATATTTGTCTGCTGCTTCGCGACACAGAGACAGAGGCTTGTTGGAATGCTAGGGTCTAATAAGAGCGGGCAGCCACCTGGGCACCGTGAATGTCTGAAGGAGCCAACTAGCCAAGATTAGTTAAACGAGACCTACTGAAAAACGTCTGTGCAGGGATCTGCAATATCCAGGAGCCCGGCACGGTATTTTAAAACCTAAAATAGGGCCAGATACTTCTGGTTGATGAGATACTATCAACTGGTATCTCAAGCATCAAAGCCTGGGGATTCATCTCTCCATATGTTTTTACTGCTTGCTTTCTTCTTGTGCAACTTGTTGGTTAAATTTATGCTGCATATTATTATCAATCAGGTAAATGTCTCATATTTACTGTACAGATAATCTTGGTACACTGTGCATAGCCATGCACGTGGTGGCTATCTCTTGGGAAGTGTGGTATGAGTAATCCACTCAGCAAGACCCCCAAAGTAAGACAACTGAGATTGTGAATGGGTGGGGTATTCCTACTGAAATCTCTTGTGGTGCTGAGATAGTATGAAGGAGCCCTTAGATCTCAAACTGTAGAGATTGCTTGACAGAGGCTTACCTTTGAATAAGACTCCCTACTTCCTGGTTGACCTGGTAATTTGTTTTGGCTAACAGTTCCAGGCCAGAATGAAAACGAGTTCAAAGGTGGAATGCTAGGAAAAGCAAAGACACTTGTTGGGAATTGGTTTCAGAACTTTTGGGCTGGGGTGCAATGATGATGGGCCATAGCTCAGTACAAACTGTACATTTTGCATGCACAAGGTCCCAGGATCAAACACTGGAATTCCCAGTTTAAAGGCAAATGGCTTGTCTTGTAGTTATTGTTGGATGCATGTTACAGTTTAATGACATCTGAAAAGCCCCAGATTGCCTATCCAGATACTGTAGTTTCAGGCAATAAAGTGGTGAAGGATCCCTGCTTAAGACTGTAGAATGTTGGGGCCAGTGGTAGCAGGCAGCTTAGGTCAAGGATGAGGGAATATGAGGTCCTTCAGACTTGTTGGAGTGTTGCACTCCCATCAGCTCTTGGCAGTATAGCCAGGGATGAAGGGTGATGTGAGTTGCACTCCCACAGCAACTGGCAAGCTGCACTTGGCCAGTCCCTGGACTAGGTGGAACACAGCTTTTTGACTCTATAAAAGGTAGCTTTATGTGAGGAATTTGCTGGATAAACAGGAAGTTGAGTCAGGTTTCTGCCTTTCCTAACAGCACAAGGAAAAATAATTCAGTCTCAACACAGAGGAGCTCCAAAAACAGAAACAAAACAAAAACACCCAAGGATGAGTCTTGTAGAGTAGAAAAGACTGACAAAGGTATTGTAGCATCCTACACATCTGGAAAAAAACACCAAGCTCATCCTTCTGGAAGCTTATGCCACAGTAATCGTGCTGGTCTTTATGGTGCTCTGGGAGTCTTTTTTGTTTCTGCTGCCTGCTACAGACTGGAATTTATACCCAATTAGACTGATTGGCAACATGTGTATGGAGAAACAGAGGAGGTTCTTCTTAACACATTGAACAATTTATGGATGGAATTTGTTTTGAGGGCCTGCTCATGCTACTGAGAGCTTTTTAAAATGTCCTGTCTCTGTGCTGTGCAGCTATGAGTTTACAATAAATTGAAGTTGTATTTCCTGATGTCTAAGCTTACTTTTTTAAAAGGACTAGATCTTATTGTTAGTCCCAACTAGAGTAGTTCTTTTGAATCAATGGGATTCACATAACTGTTGATTTACTAAAGTCCCATTGATAAAATTGCCCTATTTAATTGTATCTAACAAATGGGTTTACCTCTAAGCTTCAAGCTCTTAATTAGAGGAAGAAACATGAAAACAGAAGGACTTGGTTGCTCACTGTAAGTCAACTTAAGTAAAACAAATGAGTAAACAAAAAGCAAGCAGAATGGGAAACCAAAGGCTTTAAGGTATGGGTTGGCAAATTGTGACCCCCTGATATCAAGATATTGCTGGACTACAGTTCCCATCAGTCCTTTCTGGTATAGCAAGTGATGAGGGTTGATAGGAGTTGCCATCAACAACATTTGGTTGCCATAGGTTGCTCACCCCTGCTTTAAGGGATCAATAGATTGCTTCTGGTCTTCTCTGTGATGCAGAAATAAGAGGAAACGCCTTAATTCCTAAACAACCCAAGTTCATAAACAGTACAGTGGGGTCTTGACTTAAGAACGGCTCGCGTTAAGAACATTTTGACTTAAGAACCGCTCTCATAGGAAAATATTGACTTGACTTAAGTACTTAGATTTGAGTTAAGAACTGAAAAAAACGAACGTGGGAGGCAGGGAAAGTGCAAAATGTGAACTTTCACTTAACTGTTGGCCAGTGAAAAGGGTGCCTGTCTGCTTCCTCACTCCTCCCAGAGTTTAGAGAGTGGATTGGGAGACAGTCTTCGGCCTGCTTGGTACTGTACTGCCTGGACTGTATTTTCTCTGCCTTCCCTGAACCGTTCTTGACCTAAGAAAAAAAGAAACAAAATATCCCCCCTCTAGTGGTCGAAGGCGGAATAGCAGCTTCCGATTAGTTTCTATGGACGGAAAAGAGCAGATACGGATCAAATGGTTTTCAATGCATTCCTATGGGAAATGCAGATTTGACCTGAGAACTTTTTGACTTGAGAACCGCCTTCCAATACGGATTAAGTTCTCAAGTCAAGACCCCACTGTATCCAGAAAAAATTGCTGCCTTTTGACATTTATTTATTTTGTAAATTTATATCTGCTGACTTAGAATGAGACACTACTCCAAATGGCTTATAAAGGTAAAATATATTGTATAATATGGTTGATTAGATTTTTCTATGTGCATTCTTTTCTGAGCTTTTCTGTGGTGTTGTGGCATGGTAGTTTTCAGTTTGTAGTTGTTCCCTGGAAGATTAATGTGCAGAAGATTTTGACTTTTGGAATGGATCTTATTTGCCCTTTTGGTCATTATTGTGTATTTCCTGGGCTGAAGTATAAAGACTGTAAACACAGGGATAGAATTTCCACTCAAAACAAGCAGGCATTTCTACTTTAAACTGGGATGAGAGCAGGCCATAGGCATGTTGGAGTTACGCCATTTTTACTAGAACCCCAAGATCCAGCAACCTGAGTCAGTTGCAAACAGCCAGTGGTTTCCCAGCCTTGGATAACCCAAATGTTCTTGGACTGCAGTTCCCAGAAGCCTTCACCAAGAGCTGCGCTGGCCGGGGTTTCTGGGAGTTGCAGTCCAAGAACATCCAGGTTACCCAAGATTGGGAACCACTGTTCTAAATTAAAGAACAAAAATAGCTCAGAGCATATTGTGATCCCGAGACTGTGTTTTCAATACCAGAACTGAACTAGACTCGCAATGTGTGAAAAGGAAGATGGACTGCACCTGGAGAGGAGGGGAGGGTAAATGGGGTGAGAGTTGATTTGAGCCAAGGACTAATAGAGTGGGCGGATGTCCCCAATGTGCCTGTATATGGGTGTCCCCATAAAGTTTCAATGGCAGGAGAAGACGCAGTATTGAGCTTGGTGTCGTTCTTGAGCCAGTGCATGGGAATTCTGATGATCTTTTTATTTGGTGAGAGCACACAGAGAGCGCCAAGAAGAACGGTCTTTCTTGCTTCCCATCCCTCATTCTCTTTTGCACAGGGACACTTAGGACCAGAAATAAAGGCACATCAATAGTTGGGTTTAAAATACAACTTTATTTGACCACAAGTTCAGTATAAATGCTAGCAGGGAAAAGAAGAGGGTCGGGAAGGAACCTTGTGTGCCCAGTTAAATAACCCGACCGACAAATACATTTAACAAGTGAAAAGATTAATCTCTACATCTTAGAACAAACTCTGTTTTAAGAACAACATGTTCCAGTTGCAGCAGCTTTCCCTGTTTGAGAGGCTAGTTGTAGATGCTGCAGATCTGTGGCCTTCTATCTGAAGCAGGTAGCGGAATAAGGATTTTGAGATATGACTGTGAGCTCTCTTTATGATTGTGGATACTGGGTATAATTATAAAACTGTAGGAAGTCGACATAAAACGAGGAAGCTATATTGCTTGTAGTGCACTGCCCCTAAGGATTAACAGCTTTAGAGTTTGATTGCTGGTACCCCTATTCATTGTATTGAAGGGTATGAATTTCCTCTCTCTCTTTGTATTTCAGTGATCAGAGCAAAGGCTGTCTCTGCAAAAGAGGTTGACTCTGGTAATGACATCTATGGGAACCCCATCAAACGCATCCAGTACGAAATCAAGCAGATAAAGGTAACAACAAGCCGTATGGGTGGGTGTGTCCCATTTACCTGGAATTTCATCCAAGAAAGAGAAGCATAATGCAGTGTACAAAAGACACCTGCTACTGTGGTCCTCCTGTTCTTGTTGTATAACACAGCTGTTTGGCAGAATATAGAATGATGCCAGCCAGAGCTTTGAAAGCATCTAGTGACCACAGTCCAAAGCAATTCCACACAACAGGAAAAAAAATTGGTGGACTCTTTCTTAATCCAAATTTTTACCTGTCCAAGGCTGGATTAGATAAAGGACTCCCAGGGAGGAATACCACAGGATAATTGGAAAAGGTAGTGGTGGTCGGTCACCATGTGGTCCACGTTGCTTTATGGCAAAGGAGAGTGGATCCTTTTAAAGAGAAAGGTGGGCTAAAAATATTTTAAATAAATAATTACAGTGTATACCCTGGAGTTGTTCTAAGTAGGCATTCTCATCCACCATAATAACAGAAAGATTGGGAGGCTTTGGGAACTTGTGTCCAACATTCATGCTGGGATCTGTGTGGCAGAAGCAACCTGTGATAACTCTTTGAGCTTGTGGGTACCAATCCTCTGTAAAACTGTTCCATCGGTAGTGCTTTACTTCAGGTTGTCCATGTTGTATAAACAAAAGGTTTTTGCCCATGGGCTGCACAGATTGTGAGCAGTAAGTATTCCTTACCCATGTGTCAGGCCTGCGTAGTTAAGAATTATGTAGGGCCATATTTCAGGAACTCTTGGACACAGGATAGCCTCCTGCCTATTTGGATTCTGTCGTGGCTTCTGTTGTTGGTTGTTAAAAGGTTCTTTTGATGGTGGCCAAAATGGAGATAGTTAAGCACTAGGAAACAATGGATACCCAATTTAGGGGTAGTACATATACATCTGTTGGGATAACTGCCTAAGTAGGAAGAGGCAGGCCAGTAGAAAAGAGTTCAGCCTACGGCAGTGATTCCCAGCCTTGGGTAACGCAGGTGTTCTTGGACTGCAGTTCCCAGAAGCTTTCACCACCAGCTATGCTGGCTGGGGTTTCTGAGAACTGCAGTCCAAGAACCTGCGTGACCTATGGTTGCGAACCCTTGGCCTACAGGATGGCGGAATATCCGCCCCGGAGATCACTATTATGGTTTTGCCAACCGATGACAGTGGCCAGAATCTTATTGGCTAGTTATGCCAGCAGAAGTGCAGGCTATAAATTGCAGCAACAAATTGCACCAGTTTCATGTAGGTTGTCTCTTGGGATGTTCAAATTGCATGAATTGGTGCACAGTGAGGATACAAGCGGCAACTCATTAACTAGTAGTAGTTCACTGTTGTAATTTATGCTATTGCACTTAAACCAGCATATCTAACCAATAGGATTCTGGCCAGCGCTTGTTTTATTTAACGACAATGTTCTGTTTGGTTTAAAGATGTATAATATTTTTTAATTCTTGTTTCAATTTTTGTTTGGTTATTAAAAATACTGTAAAATGATATTAATGTTTTTAAAAGGAGGAGAAAGATACAAGGGAGACGGACAGAGATAAGAAGAGGGGGAAAAAGAGTGTGTGGGCATGGAACAGGCTGATTTTTTTTTTTGCCACAGATATTATTTAAGGAAGTGTCCTCATGTTGGGACCAAATTATTGAAGAACAGGATTCCTGCTGCCAGTGCAAACTACTGTATACTCTGATCTCCTCATTCAGACCAGTTTTTGTGCTTCTGCTGAGCTCTTAATGATGCTCCGTCTGCAGAACCAGAGTCTGAAAAGGATGCACGTAATGGTGGTTTTGTATTCTTGCAATCTCAAGAAAATATGCATTATAAGTTTCTGAGGTCCTGTTAATTTTTAATGATCTTGTTTTTCTCCTGTTTGTGGGGAAGCTTAAATAATTTGTGGGAGTTTATTACAATCAAACTTGAGCATTTCTCTTCTAAGATGTTGCACATTTTTAAAACACAGTCAAGATGTACCTTTTCGTATTGTGGTGTTATTATACACTCAAAATTTTATAGATGGTAATAGGTATGTTGGGAATGTCCCTAGAGTCCAAAAACAGAACACGACAGCCACAGAATGTGGCAGCTGAGGTCAGTTGGTCATGGAGTCTGGGGAAGTGAAAGACTTCACCTGGAACAGATCCTGAGGTTGTCCTTGTTCCCTTCCTCACTTTTTACTATGCTGATAAATAAATAATTCAGTTGAACTTATCTCTCTCTCTCTCTCTCTCTCTCTCTCTCTCTCTCTCTCTCTGTCTATCTATCTATCTATCTATCTATCTATCTATCTATCTATCTGTCTGTCTGTCTGTCTGTCTATCTATCTGTCTATCTATCTATCTATCTATCTATCTATCTATCTATCTATCTATCTATCTATCTATCTATCTATCTATCTATCTATCTATCTATCTATCTATCTATCTATCTATCT